CTGCTAGAGTTCTTACTAGGTCAAGAAAATATGATCATATAACACCGATTTTATCATCTCTACACTGGTTACCTATTAAGTTCCGCATCAACTACAAAATACTACTACTGACCTATAAAGCCCTAAATGGTTTAGCACCTATGTACTTAACGGACCTTCTTTCGCCCTACAATCCACCGCGTTCCTTAAGATCACTAAATTCAAGGCTTCTGGTCATTCCTAGGATATCGAAGTCCAGTAAAGGAGGGAGGGCGTTCTCGCATTTAGCTCCAAAACTCTGGAATGGCCTTCCCGATACGGTCCGAGCCTCTGACTCGCTGACACAGTTCAAAACTAGATTAAAGACGCATCTCTTTAGTCAAGCATTCACATAATGCTTACCTTCTAGTCCTCTGTTATGCCATACGGAACCGTTTGCCACTGAAACTGCTTAACGCACCAGTGGGGCTCGACAGCCTTTTAGACAAACGGGTCGGCGCGTATGGTTGGGTTGCGGAGAGTTCGGGTTACGGAGAGTTTGTGAGTTATAACGGAAATCATTATGAACATCAGCTATGCTAATTATTTCCCATCTGCCTTTCTGCTGTTATCTCGGGACGCTTGTCCCGAGAAAAATGGCGTTCGTCAGGTCCAGTTTTGTGTCCAGCCTCTCACGGGGATTTCGGATGCCCCAACGCCTGTGATGAGACGACTCAACGCCTGTGATGAGACGACTCAACGCCTGTGATGAGACGACTCAACGCCTGCGATATGTTATGGCGCCGTTTGATTCATAAACAATATTTATATTTAATATTTATATTTAAACAATACGAATGTAAGCCAGAGGAGAACTGGCCCCCGACTGAGCCTGGGTTCTCCCAAGGTTTTTTCTCCATCCAATCTGATGGAGTTTGGTTCCTTGCCACTGTCGCCTTGCTTTTGGCTTGCTTTGAGCTTGCTCAGTTGGGGTTATTTAGTGTTTAGCAATGTTGTTGATCTGTGTTGTGCTACTTTCATGTTATCACTGTGAAGCTGCTTTGATACAATCTGTATTGTGAAAAGCGCTATATAAATAAATGTGACTTGACTTGACTTGACTTATATTGCATAAATGCATCAGGCGTGACAAAGGCGGAGATTTCAGAGGCGCGCGGTGTCAATGGCACCTGCCAATAGCCCTTCAGCAGATCGAGTTTTGTTACATAACGTGAAGAACCTACGCTGTCCACACAGTCCTCCATTCTGGGGAGAGGAAAGGAGTCAGCTTTGGTGACACTGTTAACTCTGCGAAAATCCGTACAGAATCGGAAAGAGCGATCAGACTTCGGCACAAGTATACAAGGCGAACTCCATGGACTCTGGCTGGGTACAGCAAAACCATTACGCACCAAATAATTAACTTCATCCTTCATGACTTGACGTTTGAGCGGATTAACACGGTATGGATGCTGTTTAACTGGTGGGCTTTGACACAAATCAATATCATGCGTCAACACATTTGTCTGCGAAGGAACATCATTAAACAACGTAGGATGACGGTTAATCAATGCAACGATATCCCGACGCTGACTCTCAGACAAATAAGAAAGATGAGACGATAAGTTGGCCAGGACAGCAGAGTTTGAAAGTTTTCCACAAGAGACTTGGGCAGCCTTCTCAATTAGATAATCTGATTCTACCACATAAGTGGACGGCACTTCAATAGCGTGAACAGCAGCCACCGTTTCAACCACAGCAGGGTTAACTTCAGGCGCATCTCGGGAAACATACCTCTTCAGCATATTTATGTGGCAGACTCTACTTTTACGTCGTCGATCAGGGGTCAAAACTGTATAATTGGTCTCATTCAGTTTTTTCTCTATCTTATATGGACCAACAAACCGAGCAGACATCGGAGAATTAGGTACAGGCAAGAACACGAGCACAGAATCACCCGGTTCAAAATTACGGGCTACGCTGGTTTTATCATATCTGCTCTTCATCTTACATTGAGACTCAACAAGATGCTGTTTCGCAACTTCCCACATTTTGTGGAGTTGTTCACGAAATGAACTCACATACTGCAAAATCGGCACAGAGGGAGGATCTTTAGATTGAAACTGATCACTTATCAATTCCAATGGTCCCCGAACAGTGTGTCCGAACACAAGTTCGGCTGGACTGAACCCCAAAGACTCTTGCACTGTGCTCCTTATGGCCAACATTAATAACGGTAACCCATCCACCCATTCTTTACCCGTTTCGACACAGTAGGTGCGCAACATCGACTTTAACGTCTGATGGAAGCGCTCGAGTGCACCTTGCGACTCAGGATGGTACGCACTTGACATCTGATGTTCTACCCCCAGTTCGTGTACCAACTGTTCAAACAGGCGGGAGGTAAAATTTGTTCCCTGATCTGTCTGAATTACTTTAGGCAATCCGAACATAGAGCAAAACTTAATCAGCTCTTTAACCACGGCTTTTGTTTTAATAGAGCGCAATGGCACAGCTTCCGGATAGCGAGTGGTGGCACACATTATGGTAAGGAGATACTGATGACCTGACTTAGCCTTCGGCAATGGGCCAACGCAATCAAGAATGAGTCTTTCAAAAGGTTCTCCTACTACAGGAATGGGTTTAAGTGGCACTTGAGGAATCTTTTGATTAGGCTTGCCAGCCAGTTGGCACACATGACAGGATCGAACAAATGCAGACACTGATGATTTTAAACTTGGCCAAAAGAAATTTCTGGAAATTCAATCGTATGTTTTCGTAACACCAAGGTGTCCTGAACATGGATGTTCATGAACTAACTGCATGATTTGATACCGATACCCCGTAGGAAGAACAATCTGGGAAACACGGTCACCTTCAGAGTTTGACGGCTTCCACCAGCGCATCAAAACTTCCTCGTCCCAAAAATACCCTACTGACCCATCCGAAACCTGAGTTTTGTCCGCAGCCGCACTGATACATTTGCTTAAAGTTAAATCAGATTTGTGCGCAGCAATTAACTGTTCCCTACCCACTTTTAAGGGAATTTCGTTTGCATTCATATACTCATCACTCAAAAGCGGTTGAGGTTTAACAAACAGTTTGCATTCCACACTATCTGGCGATGCAGCGAGAAAAGAGCTTGAAAGATCCACCACCTCTTCAAATTTCTTTTTCTGCACGCGTGTTACAACACATGCTGGAAAAACTGTGGGAAACTGTGACAGAGCAGCTACCGGAGTGTTTACGTTCGGCTCAGCAGATACAATCGGGTACGGAAACACTTTAGTTCCAGCCAAATCATTACCCAAGATCATACTCACACCATCCACAGGTAATTGTGAATGCACCCCGATATTAACCGTGCCGGAAATAAGGTCAGATTTCAACTGAACGGTATGCAAAGGCACGGGAGTACAGCCCATTTCTATACCACGAATGAGCACATCATTACCGGTATACGAATTCACCGAGAACGGCAGAGCACTTTCTAAGATTAGGGATTGTGCGGCTCCCGTATCTCGCAGCATCACTATAGGTTTTTCCTCGTCATTGTCTGAAAGCGAAACTAAACACGTTTGTAAAAACGATCCAAACGCATTCAATTTTTCCCCTGATGAGAGTTCGGGAATGGAGGTAAACGCTACCCCTTTAGGTTTACCGCCTGCTTTCTGCTGCCAAGCTTTACAGCTGGTAATCAGATGACCTGGATCAAGACAATAGAAACAAGCTCTTTTTTTATCAGGCCGCTTTTGTGCATGTGCTTCACCCTCGACCCTAAAAGAGTTGTCCCTCGTCATTCTTTTATCCCTCCCTACGTCCACGACTAAAGAAGGTTTGAGAGCGCGCATCACTGGGAACACAGTTTTATGAGTAAGTGCGAATTCGTCTGCAAATTTTGCCGCATCGAAAAGCTTAGATACTTTCTGCTCGTTTAAATGCACTACAATATTGTCTGGCAAACTATTTTTAAAATCTTCGAGCAAAATCAGTTCTTGCAATTCCTCAAGAGTTGTAATTTTAATAGAACCACACCACTTCTGGAATAGCGATCTCTTTTCACGCGCAAATTCCACAAACGTTTGCTTGGCTGTCTTTGAACACGCCCTAAACTTCTGCCGGTACGCCTCCGGTACCAATTCATAAGCACGCAACACAGCCGATTTCACAAGATCATAATCCAGCGAATCATCGATTGGCAAAGCTGCGCAAGCCTCCTGGGCTTTGCCAACGAGATTACACTGTAACAATAACGCCCACATATCTCTGGGCCATTTTAATTTAGCCGCGACACGTTCGAAAGCCACAAAATACGAGTCAACTTCAGACTCACGAAATGGAGGTACAAGCTTAATGTACTTACCCACATCAAAATCAGGTTGCCCCACATCAGAACTACTGGAATCAGTTCTAGCGCGCGGTGACGGACCTGGTCTGTCACGCTGCCTCTGAGCTTCCACCTCCAGCCTACGCAATTGAACATCCCGATCAGTCCTTAACTCTAACTCTTTCAGTCGAAGTAATTGCGTTTCATGCTCCTGCTTCTTTAACTCCAGTTCTAACTCTCTTAAGCGAACAGTCACCTTCGGATCTATACCAGCCCCTTTACCGCTTGCCAAATCGGATTCGTCAGGCTCTGACCGAGGAAAAATACCAATTTCAACTAACTTACCATACAACTCGTCTTTAATGACTTGTTTCTTTTCCTCTTTCGGGACGGTTACATTGTAAAATTCTGCTATTACAATTAGATCTACTTTTCTACACCGCTCAAACTCCTTTAATGTAGGTGAAAGCGTAAACTTAACTAGATCAAAATCCATATTAAATAACACTTCCTCCCCCACAAAAAAAATTCAAAGCAGCCAAGCAACACTACTGGAAACGGTCAATAGATTTTACGAATATTAAAATACGCGGACGGACGAGCCCCCAATTGTTACGACCTCCTAGTCCAGGGTTAGGAACGCCAATAACAAATAAAACAATATAGATATCCCCTCTCCTGTCCCAGATCACAAACAGAGTACCACACCAGAATATAGTGTCAAAAGAATAAGCTTTTTTATTTACACAGAAATAAAGAAAGCTGAAAGCGTGAATCTTCAGGAGGGGTTCAAGCCAAAATAACAAACCAAAATGAATTCTAACTAACGCCGACTTAAATATAAATTACCTAACAAATAAAAATCCCCAAAGAAAATACAACAAACTTCCCTTACTCCCTAACTAGTCAATAACCAAGAGAAAATGTTTAAATAAAAAAAAAAGAATGGCAACCTCCTCCCTACGGCTTTCTAAAGAAACATTCAAACATTAGTTTAATGACATAAATCAAAAAAAAAACGAAATAAACGAAAACAAGTAAACACAAATCAGTAAACAAGGAAATAAACTTACGACAATCAACTCAAGAGAAAAGTGTTCTCTAAAACACACCGTGAGTATTCCCCACTAGGAAAACTCACTAAAAGATCAACACATCAATCTCATTGATCTCAACAGCGTGTCTGGGGCAGGAGACAAGGACCACGGACCTCCGCGACGCGCGTTCTAAGGAGCTCTGTCTCACTGCAGTCTGTCTCCGCTTTTAAGCGCTCCCGCTCCTCATCGTAATCGGCCGCAGCTGAACCCAATCAAGGCCTGCACGGAGGGAGAGAGAAAGAGAGAGAAAGAAAGAGGGAGGAACCAACTGCACACACCTCAAATCACAACACAAATTAGAGAAAAAATAACATGACAGCAAAACACACTACGTCCTAGGACGTAACACTATCCACTGAACCAAGCATTTAATTTTAAATAAAATGGAGCCACCAAAAATTGCAAGCAGTTTGAATGTATTACACCGTTGAATAAAGCAAAAACTGCTTTTGAAAAACAATGCAAATGTTCTCTCATTCATGATCTCATGATTCAAAAACATAAGGGAGCAGCGCACATCTGAATGTGTCTTTGTGTTCTGCGTGGGGTGTGTGTGTGTTTGTTTGTTTCTCTATGTGTGCCACCAAAGGTTCGCTTTAGATCAAATAAAATAATCTTACGGATCCACAAAAATTGCAAGCAGTTAAAATCTATTAGAGAGCTGAATAAAACAAACAGCTTATGAAAAACAATGCAAATGACCCTCTCATTCATGATCTCATGGCTCAAAACATAAGTGAGCAGCGCGCATCTGAATGCGTCTTTGTGTGTGTGTGTGGGTGTTACATGATACCCTCCGCATTCCTGAAGACACTGTGGAAGGACAATTTATATATATATATATATATATATATATATATATATTATAATTACTTTCACTATACATGCTACCACTAGGCTCAATTTTTAGGAATCATGGGGTGTCTTTTAGTTTTAATGCAGACGACACTCAAATCTATCTCCCTTTGAAACATAATGACAAGCAAGGCCTAGAAACTTTGCTTGCCTGCTTATCTGACGTACGGTCCTGCATGTCCTTGAATTCTCTGCACTTGAATGAGAGTAAGACTGGAGCAATTGTTTTTGGCCCTCTGTTGGAAAGCAAACCCGAATACTGACGATTATTTAGACTCTAAACGAGAGAACGCATTACCCCGGTTTTAGTATCTCTAAATTGGTTGCCAGTGTGTTATATAAAGTTGTGTTGCTAGTTTTTAAGGCTTTGAGTCTTGCACCATCCTCTCTGTCAGATCTTTTAAATGTGAAAAAAATGAACAAGATGCTTGTGATCCTCAGACAGCATTATACTGTCATATCCAAGATCAAGATTCAAGTTGCGAGGTGATTGCGTTTTCAGTGGCCGGTCCTCGGATCTGGAATAGTCTTCCTTTATCTGTGAGGTCTGCATCATCTGTACATGAATTTAAATCTAAGATACAGTCTAATCTTTTTACTCTTGCATTTCATTCATGACGTTGGATTTTCTAAACACTAACCTAGTGTTTTATTGTATTGTGTGTGGTTTGTTTTATACTTCTCCATTTGTACAGCACAGTGGTCAGCTTCTGTTGTGCTTTATAAATAAATGAAATTAAAATTAATTAAATAAAATGATATGTCACACTAAAGTTGAAAAACATTATGTTCTTGAAATGGTTATAAAATTTACATCTAGTCATTTACAAATATAATATTTAAAGGAGCATTTCACCCATTGCAACATAAATCTTTATTGAAAGTGGATCATATATGTAGTCGAAATGTAAAATAATTTTTTAATTTGGTGCCCTCTTGACTGAGAAAAGACAGAAAATAACCAAGGGGCGCATATGTATGAATAGACTACAGGTCCCAGAATGCCCTGCATTGTACAGCTCTGCAAGCCACACCCACTAATCCGGAACCGCGCAAACAGAGAATTCACTATTCCGTCTAAGGCTAACATTAGCTATCACCAGAGTTTGAAATTCATTTCACACAAAATGTCTAGTTGGCTGTGGCGAGCGGGACGATCGAGGGCGAGGCACATAAGAGGATGGCGCGAGTGATAACAGACTAAACAGAGACTATTTGGTGATATTGAAAGACACCTGTGAGGCGCGCGCCGGTCCCGCGTCTCTCACAGAGAAGCGAAAGTATAAAACGGGGAGCGATGACGGCAGATCGAGAGAGAAACAGGCCTGATTTTATGAAGTTTTGTTTCTGTTGTGTGTAACGTTACATCAGTCGTCAATGAGGGGCTGCTGGCTTTGGCTTATACTTTCGTTTTGTATTTGTTCATTTTACTATTAAAATGTTTAAAGGGTAACTAAACCCCTGGTCAGAGCCTGACTCCACCCACTGGCAATATTTGAAAAATGCTGGAAAAGTGGGCAGAGCCCAGCGGAGGGGGGCGTGCACCTGAGACGCATCTCTTTGTATGAAACTTGCCTATGTCACCAACAACCGATGTGTCATGTACCACCGCAAACATCCAATAGGAAAATTCAACTGCAGTAGCCACCGTTCAACCTGAAGAGGGCAGCACTAAGACGTTTTTACACCATATATTGTAGAAATAGAACACTTTATAAACAAATGCCAAAAAAGTTACTCGAATCAATGACTGGTATTAATAAAGATCCATTCTTACAGATCATTAACTAAAAAAAGTTGGTTAAGTGTTTAGTTACTCTTTAAATGTTCGCCAGTTCGACGGTTCCTGCCTCCTTCTACCCACAACAACAAACCCCGTTCACGTTACATTGGCAAACTTTAATTGAATTACTCCTCGTTTGTATTTATTTCTGTTTGGTGAATTTCTGCATGTTACCTGGATGTTTACCCTGCTGAAAAATCCAGCTAAAACCAGCCTAGGCTGGTTGGCTGGTCTTAGCTGGTTTAAGCTGGAAGTAGCTGGTTTTAGTTGGTCACCCAGCCTGGCTTAGCTGGTCAAGCTGGTCTCCCAGCCTGACTTAGCTGGTTAATCTGGTCTCCCAGCCTGGCTACCAACTTGACCAGCTAAGACCAGCCTGACCAGCTGAAAAAGTGTTCAAAACCCCTCTAAAACTAGCCTGATAAACCAACTAACCAGGCTGGGAGACCAGCCAAAACCAGCCAACCAGCCTTGGCTGGTTTTAGCTGGATTTTTCAGCAGGTCAGGCGAAACTATCACAACACAAACGTCTGTGTGCTTGTCTGATTCAGAGATTTCCACCAGGAGAAATTGCCATCGTTGAAATTCTCTGCAGCAGACGGGCTGTGTCCGTAGGCCGTAGCATGCAGCGAGAGCACGGGCACCAGCAAGCCGCCCAGCGCCAGAGTCAGTGCGGGGTCCTTGACCGCGACAGGCCGCCGCCTCGGTGTCTCCTTCTCCTCCATCAGCCTCAGCTGCTCTAAACTATACTGCGGCTCGTAAAGATAACCACGAATATCGGATTCGAGGAGCAGAACTTCAAAATCCGATTCTTCCAAATCATGTTTAGTTTCTTCAGTCATTGTCATAACTTACTATCTCCACAGCACTTGTTAGCTTAGCTTCCAAACAAGATGGTGGATATTGATTTCAGTTCCTGCAAGTGAAGTCCCACCCACTGATCTGTAATAGGCTTGTAGGGTGAGTGGGTCCAACACCCTGGAATAATAATGAGCTAATATATGTAGTTCTGAAGATTTTAATGAAATATGACTTCCTGCTTATCTTGACGCAAAATGACGATTTTTACGTCACAATAAGCAGGAAGTAAAACACTTAAATCCTTATTATTGGTTACACTTTATTTCGATAGTCACTTTAGACATTCTACTAACTATAAGTAACTTTTCAACTACATGTCAACTAAGTGTCATTAGAGTATTAGAAGGCTGTAGTAGACTGTCAGTAGACTGTTAGGTTAGGGTTAGGTGTAAGGGTTCAGGTTAGGAGAACAAGTTGACTTGTAGTTGCTAAGTTACTTACAGTCAGTTGAATGTCTGTTGGGGGACCAACAAAATAAAGTGTTAGCAGATATTAAGCTGACAGTCTACTAATACTCTAATGATAGTTAGTTGACATGTAGCGGCAAAGTTACTAATAGTAAGTTGAATGTCTAAAGTGGACTATCAAAATAAAGTGTTACCTTATTATTTACTCAGGGGAAAATAAGGGAATAAACCATGACCATTCAAAAATATGACTGGGTTTCTAAAGATACAAAGCTTAATGCAAATGGGTGAAGTGACCCTTTAACACTAACTATAGTTGAAAAACACTGATCTTCAAAAGTATATGTGCAATTATAAATTTACAAATATAATATTTCACACTAAAGTTGAAAAACATGCTGTTCTTTAAAAGTATATACATTAAATATAAAATAAAATATATGAAATAATATTTCTCTCTCTCTCTCTTTCTCTCTCCCTCTGTCTCTCTCAAACACCCAGTGCATGGTAGACATCTGCCTTACACAAAAATCTTACAAGGGGTGTATCACATAATTGTCATGCCTGTTTTGCTAAGAGAACATAAAGTCTAAACATGTTTCTACATATGGTGGCTATACGACATTAGTCTAGATTTAAGAATTTATTTCAAAGAATAATCGTAAAAGTTTAAATATGATCTTTTAAAAGACTGTTTAAATTAAATCTTTATAGTTTGAATACATTCATATCTTCTATTTATCTTTTAGAAGATTACTGTAATGATTGTGTCACGAAGTGGTTTTGTGTGTTTTCGTTATTAGTTATTGCCCGTCTATTATTTATCCCAGGTGTTTCTCATTTCTCACGCCCCCTTGTTATCTTGTCTAGCTCGTTTGATTATTTAAGCCCTGTGTTTCTGCCCTGTCTTTGTTGGTTGTTGAATTTATGTGTGTTACGTGGGTGCTTTCACGATTCTTGCTTCTAGTGTCTTGTTTTAAGTTTGTTTAATAAAGCTACACTGCGTTTGGACCCAGCCTCAGCTCTGTTTCTCCGCACAGCGTCACAGAACAACCAACCTCAATATGGGTCCAGCAGTCGTCAGCAACCGGGCTATGACAGAATACCTGTCGTCAGTCTTGCAAGAGGGCCGGTCTGTCCAAAGGTACGCGAAGGAGTTCCTGTCCATTAGCAGTCTGGGAGCGCTAGATGATATCCAGCTCATGGGCCTGTTTCTGAATGGGCTGGATTATGAGATCGCTCGATGGATGCCGCGGGACCTTGCCAACTGGACTCTTGACGGGTATGTCGCTCGGGCTTGTTCCTTGCAGGACCTC